TTGACCTAACTGCGGAGCGCATCAAAAGCTAGCGGGCGTGAGTTTTTATATATATGCATATGTGGGGTTGCAGACGAAAACAACTGCGGGGGCAGGCTGCCTGCCAGTGCGATCACGCGAGACTGGCAGACCTAGCTTAGCTAGTTCACTGACTCAGCAGCTTACTGACGCTAAGCTTCCAGTCTGCTTTCAGGTGTTTGGTTTGGACAAGCCCACCATGTTGGTAAAGCCCAGTTGAGACCAGATTTGCGCATAGCTAGATCAACACGGTAAGGAAAAAACGGAGGCTGCGTTTGTCAAAAATCAATACGAAAGGTTCAGATCGCCCAGGGTGGGAGAAAACTATATATACGTAGACGTATCTATACAAACACCATGCATACGTTCCCCGATCCACCATAAAAAGATTGAGGCTCCCACACGCGTGAAAGGTGTTGATCCCATATTTGTTGCGGAAAGTGTTTCCCGCTTGCAGATCCGAATGGTTGCTGGCAATGAAGTGCAAAAGTCAATAGCAGCAAACAGTTCCACATGACTTGCAATAGAAGTGTCACCAGTTTCACATGAGTGCATGGAATGAAGGGTGGTTCGCCAAACGAACTTGCAAGGCATTCGTGCCTTCACGGGCGGCTTTCTGCTTGGTGGCTCACTTGGCTACGTCGCTGTTTGGGAGACAGATGATGCGGAAGGGGAATCCATGAGGAGTGTGGAGGAAGAGTATCATCTCTCTACTGCTGCGAAGGTGCGCAACGTGCATTGTGTTGACTGTAAGATCCCAACAGAGAGATTTCGGTCATTTTTGTTCTTGATATTGCAATCTGCCGCATTGGTTCATGTTTTCACCAGCTGGCCAGCTAGCCTGGTGTCTCTTGTTTCACTGCGAGCTTTCATTCAGAAGTCTCCCTCCAGTGACTTTCATTTACAAGGTGCGACCGGAAGCTGACGGAGTGTGCACCTTGGACATCACAGTGGGTGAAGAGCAGTTGCTATTGGGCTTTGGCAATGCAGACATGGGCCTGGTAACAATGGCATCTCTTTACAACGCAGAGGTCTGGATGGTCCTGACCCTTTGTTCGCTCGTTTGATTTTGGTCAGAGATGCACGCTCAAGTCAAAGGCCAAGTCACGTGGTGCAAGTGTTTGATGCAACCTGGTAGGAGCCAATCTCATGCCATGTCATGGGCAATCATTCTGCTGCAATCACAGCTATGGACATGGCCGTGCATCGGACCTTGATCATTACTGCTTGCAAGGCCAGTGCACCCGTTTTGCAAGAAGCAACAATGATATCAGCATTCCAACTTTACTTAGTTTAGGTAAAGGCAGGCAAGCCTAGTCAGTTGGAAAGAATCGTTGCCACAGCTTTCACTTCAATGGGCATAACGTGGGCAGGGCGACAGCTCCCTGAGAGTCTGGAACTACACTGCCCGCACTTGTGAGATTTGCATGAAGTTTGGTGACTTGCCAGCATGTTTCTATGTCGTTTGCATTATATAGCCATTTTTGGCAGCTTCTCCTGCAATCATTTGTAGCACACTTGCTTATGTGAGAGGGTTGGAAGCAACTGAAGCTTTGCCATGCTTGTCGTGTAATGGGCATTTAGCAAAAGAGTGAGTTAAAGGAAGTTTGACTTTCATGGTTTCATGCCTTGGCAGAGTGTTCCAGTTGAGTCATCCTCAAGGTTTTTTGTGTGCTTCAGTTTCGCAGTTTCATTTTCCATGCAGTTCCCTGACAGATGATGCACCTTGTGCTGTGGCGATTCACCCCTTTGGATACTATGCGGCCGTGGGCTTTGGTGATCGACTACGATTATATCACATTTTGGTACCTGGGCCATCGCAAGTAGGTTGGAGGCCATCGCTACCAGGAACAAGAAGCTACTAGTAGCTACAGTAGAAGCTATTAGGTGGGCAGAAAACCCCCACCCACTCGACTACGTTCTCGGTCGCTCGGCCCGTACCGTACCGCCGTACGGCCCGCGTACGGCCCGAGGTGAAGGACTTGAAGCTTCACAGTGAAATCGTCATGCGCTCCATTCATCTCGTCAAGTTTAGCTTTGGAGGGCACCTTTTGGCCGTGTGCCAAGGGAAGGTGATACATCTTTTTAGCGTGCGGACCTTGACAAAGGCCGGAACCTTCCTAGTTGATCCTGATTGAAGTTGTGATTATTGATTATGTGTATCGAGAGAGAGAAAGAGAGAGAGAGAGAGAGAGAGAGAGAGAAAGAGAGAGAGAGAGAGCATACTGGCATACTATGTAATTATATAGTAAGAAATTGCATCGCGCATGCCTATATTATGCACACCCATCCCAGAGTTATCCGATATGGATTACCGACAAAATTCTGAGCCCACATCCTATTCATGATTTGTTGAACGGTGAGACCTTCTTGCAAGCCCCGCTGTGACAGTCCCACCGCAACCTTCGCAGGCGACAACTTTTCAGGGCCACAGTCGAGATGTAACCAGCATCAGCTTCGATCCGGAGGACAATTCAGCGAAGGCATGACGTGAGACATGAGGCATCCAACATCCAACACCCCACCATGCAATTACAGTCCGAGTGGCCGGAGTCATCATCGATTATGCCGGGAGTCCAGTCGGAGTGCAGTTGGAGTGCATTTGACAGAGTCAGGACCGCTCACTTTGGAGCACTGGCGATGATGGCAAGCTCATCATTTGGAATCTCAACACCTTTGAGATCGAGGCAACCAGAACTGTGGCTTGGTGTTTTCGGCCAGACGAAGAGAGGGGCCACTTCGAACGACTCAGCATGTCTTCACCGTTTGAGTGCCGAACTCTGCCGAGGAGCCTGCATCAAAATGGTTTGCTATTTGCAGCATTGCGCAGGACATGCCACTGCATTGCAACCAAGGCCCTTGCAGGTGGAAGCAAACAAAGGTAAATCTGGATACAAGATGCAATTTTGCACGCATCACGATATATATATATATATATACATACTGTATACTGTAGGTAGTCTTCTGCCAGAATTCGGAGGTCCGATACGCTGAAGTAGCATCGAAGATCTGAAGTGCAAGCACTTGTAGCAAGATCACACTGTTCATTCGCCTGAGAGCCCCTCAGAGACCAGTGAATTCATGTGCCAGAAGTTCAGTGCTGCAGCAACCGTTCGCCCAGATAGCAGCTTCGCATAGCTTCGCTGCTATGCTAATCAATGTAGGAGGATGTTGAAATAGGAGCGTGGAACTGAAGTATAAAGCCGGCACCACATCCATCGGACGTGATCAACTTTCTGATCCCCTGAAGCCAGCCATCAACGGGTGCAGGACCAAGCCACTTGTAGTTTGCACCGGAATGGAAAGCAGCTGCTGCAGCGCTTTTCACAATATGATGTGGAGCATCTTGGCACGGCAAGTCGAAGAGGTCAGATGTCGCTACATCATGCAACATCATATTATATATATATATTGATGTCATTGCCGTGGATGGGCGGCCTGATAGACGGAAGATCAGTTAGACTCGTTGGTAGCACATGTTGCAAGATTTTTGCCTGCTTAGGTTTGAGACGGAGCTGCACTGCCCGCAGGTCACGACTCTGAGCCATTTCTCTGGCAGCAATGCTTTCTTGGCTGGTACCCAGAAGGGTTCATTGCAGGTGCCTTGGCGGAGGGAGAGGTGTGGCACGGGACAACGCTTTATATAACAACTTGTACCTTTGAAGCTTTATATATTGCAATGCTTGTCATGCAGAACATTTTCATTTTTTTTTGGCGCAGGGAAATTGCCAACCCTATTGAGCAGTTATTCACGATATTTCCGGATTTCCGGACTTGTTTGGGGTTGGACGGTTCAACCACTCGACCACTTGCAAGGTTTATATGTCCCTCCACAGTGGGAGTCAGCCCAAGAGCTACGAGCTCCCTTTGCACAGCCTCGCCTGCAATGCCTTGTGTATCTCAGTCGATGGCCGCTCGCTGGTCACTGCCGGAGAGGACCGATGAATTACAGAAAGCTGGACAGGGACCAGGCGGCCCATGGGTCCAAGGGGCTACGAACGGAGCGATCGGACGCCACGAGGGGCTCCTGGCCTTTACTAGGATCAAGAACGCTACTAGGAACAAAGGGCATCGCTACTGGGAGCAAGGACGCTAGTAGAGCTCCTGGCCTTACTACTAGGAGCAAGGACGCTACGAACGGGGCTCGATCCGACCAGGTATCAGACTCGCCAGAACAGTCGATGAGAAACGTCGTAGGGAGGATGGGGATTGGTTCCGGCAAGAGGTTCAAGAGGGTGGACACATCGGGGAAGGCCAGACGTTGTTCTTAGGTTGTTGCTTAACTGGTGCTCCAGACAGTCAGATCATCGATTTGGTTCTATTCAAGCTGCTGCTCTTTGTTGAATGCGACTAGCACAGCTTCATTTGGCAGGATGGCGTGCTCTTCATTCTTAGTGTTCAGGGTCTTGCCTCTCATGATGAGTGTTTCAGCCGCAAGTGAAGCCAAATGCTGCATGACGTTGCACGACAAATCATGACACGTGTGACTGGCTGATCTCTGACAGCATGAGTTTAGGAGCACTGCACAGCAAACAGCATTGCATTTAATTGTAGGAGGTTTTTCAGTTTTTGGCCTGGACTCTTGACTTGCTTGCAGTGCCTGTACCCTGACCTTAAGGCTTGCAGTGCTACCATTGGCTTTGCATGTCACAGACATGGATAAGTTCTCGCCAGAGGCTCAAAGCATTTTGGCCTCCAAGGAGAAGCTGCGCTGATCTCGATCAGCTTGAAAGAAAGCATGCAGAGAGAAGAGATAGAGAAGATTGGATGGCATGTTCATTGCTAGTGTTGTATAGAGATCAGCTTGATTTGTATGTCACCAGGTGTTCCAATGTGGCACGATTCTTTTTGTTTACTTTATTCTGGGAAGGGCTGTGCCACCATTGTTCAATGACATCCCTTAACATTGAAGACCAAGCCGAGCAGACTGCCTATAAACCTACGATGGGGGACAAAGAATGCACGCCATCACTGACTTTAGATCATTGATCACGACAGATGGAACATTTTTTTTTGCAGACTCTCTTTGCAGACTCCTATTCATCTCCCTCCGCCCACTTTGTGCACAAAGGAGGAGATCTTGAAACTGGAGCATCGCTGCGAAGCATTGATGGGCGAGTGCAGAGGCATGAAGGAGCGGGTCGTCTTGTTTTTTTCTTGGGCATTGGGTCGTGGACTTCATAACTGACTTCACCGGTTATATTTTTAGGTTTTGCGGTTTGCAGTGCTTTTTCGCCTGTGAGGAGAGGCTAGAGCGAGAAGCATCACTGCACGAGGAGCAGTGTGCGGCTAAAGTGGCCCAGGCACAGGAGAAAGATCAAGCTGAGATTAAGGAGAACCCACAGCGACTGCAACAAGTGTGTTACTGGTGCATCATGGCACACCTGGACACTTACCATAGTATGTCTCAGTCTGGCCATGCACGCTGGTCTGCCACTTCGTTTTGGTCAGCTGCTTGCTGTAGGAGCTTCAGCGCCGCTATGCGGCTTTAGAAGAAGCCTGTGCAGCCAAAGAGCGTGAGAGCCAAGGCTTGATGAAGGCGCAGCATTTCTCGCCTCAATCATGCTCGTCATAGACGCTTCCCAACATGGGTTGCTGACCTCACCTTTTGCGCCATGCCGCCAAGCCTTCTCTTGACAGACAGCGGTTGAGAGACGAGAGAACCACAAAGAGCATTGGAGGTTAAGTTAAGTGTTCCAAACATCTAGGACAATTAAATAGTTCGAGGGATTCTTCAAGAAGATTCCCCATGCCCTCAGGCAGACAGGACTTTGTTAAGAAGCCTGAGCTTTCCGTCCCAGCTGCTAGTTACTAGCATATCATTGGTCCTGGAGTCCTGGAGTCCTGGATCTACAAAAACTCCTGAGTATTGGCCTGACCACCAACTCCGTGCCTTGTCTCGCCGTCGTTGGTGAATGTGAGGCGATGGAGACCAGGCACAACGAAGCCACAGACCAGCTGTCCAAGCTCTATCAGCGCAAACTAAGCCATGAGTCGGACCGCTCCTTGACTGAACACTCTGAACAGTGCATGGTGGGATGTGGATGTGTTTAGCAAAGCGTGCTTCAAACTAAGCTGCTAGCATCTTAATTTCTTATCACTTATCACTCTATTTCCACTGGCTCATGCATCGACTTGGTCGGACTTGCAGCAAGCCATGGTCCGCCAGTCCTCCTTCAGCAATTGTCAGTTGACATGTTGCCCATTGTTCCAGAGGGGGCCCAGGAATCAAACCATTACAGTAATGGATTTGTGTGACTGGAACTTGGCAGATCGCAGCTTAGAGGCCATTCATGCGCGCATGAAGTATATATATGTTTTTCGTTTGGTGAGAGTTGCGCTGCTCCTAGGCTTGTTGGATTTGCAGATTCAGAAAGAGAAACTTCAAGAGCAAATGCTGAAGGATATGCCGCTGTGCTTTGGTGGGTGCAAGGGCGGGCTTGAGATGCTGTCGAGCAATGTGCTCCCTATTGCTCTATATTCGGGGCTACTTCATTGATGTTGCTTGTTTTATGCTGTGTAGGGTCGGATGAGTCAATAGACCAGGAGAAGGAAGAATGTGAGGAGCAATTGAAGCAATCAGCCATTGCCGCCAAAGAAGAAGAGAAGCGTTTGCTGGTGGAGCGGGACCTGGAGATAAAGAAACATCAGGACAGAATTTGTGTTGTGTCGCAGTTACCGATACAAGATGATACAAGCCTTTGGATGAAAGACACTCGCCAATCGCTCTTGGAGGATTTGCTGGCATTTGTGCAGCATCGCTTCGAAGTTGTAAGAGAAAAGCGTGGCGAGGCATGCGGCGAACGCAACACACCTGGATGGAGGGTGGGTGGAGGATGCAGGCTGTTTGGTGGATGTGGAACATTGATGCCAGGACCACGACCAAGACGTCATGCGTCTAAAGCATGCCGGTTGGGAAGCCTTGGAACAGCAGAAGAAGGCGGAGCCTCAGCAGTTTTCAACATGGAACGCTGAAGAATGCTGAATAAGAAGTGATTTGGTTCACAATTGTCTTAAGTGCAGGTCCTTCATGGATCTCAGTCTTAAGCAATTGCATGTATTGATGAGAGGGAGAGAGTAGGTTGCACAAGTGGCCTCAGACTAATGAGTCACACTTGGCAGGTGGAGGAGGATTTGCGACGGGAACAGGAGACTTTGCTCCGAGGCAGGCTCCCAGGGGTGGAAGACACAGGAGGTGAACGTGATTCAGGTGACTGGAGGGAGAGAAACACGTGAAAATTATTCACGGTTGTTCCCCAGATAGCTAGAGCAGCTATATAGAGCTATTGGGGTTCTTACTTCAAGTATAGGCAGCAGGTGCCTGTGTGCGCTTTGGAGCTTTGATGCTGGTGTCGCTGCAGGGTGCAGCTGCAGGGTGTTGCTTTGGAGAGATGTGTATGGCCGTGTACGCTTCCGAGCAGGGATGCTGCCGGGTGCCGCTCCGCTCCAGGGTGCTGCTGCGAGATGTCTAGCCGTGTGTGGTTTTGAGCCTGCGTGCCGCTAATATCGGGTGCTGGCCACAAATATCTTTTGATATTTATGCTATTTGGGGTCCATGCAGGCGTAAATGTGTTTCGTGCCCATGCAACTGTTCAAGGTGACCTCTGTGCCAGCCATCCCAAATTGAAGATCAGAGGGTTAAAGTCACTGAGAAGGCGCCGTTTGTTGCAGCAGAGATTCCTGTGCAGGTCTCGAAATGCAAGAGAAGGACCGGGAAGCTGTCGAGGAAAAGCAGCAGGAAGCAGCCTCCACCCTGAAAGGCTTGAGGCAAGGCACCCACATTTACGAGGTGTTTGCAAGACGGTGTTTGTCTATGTTTCGCATTGTTAAGCTGTTGACTGACAGCTTCTTGAGAGTTGGGATGGTGTCCCCCAAATCTAAAAACGCCCGTCCGCAGGGAACAGGCTGAAGAGCTGAAGCGGACACTTCAGAGCCTTCAGGGGGAACGCGACGATCGTGCTGCCACCTTGGCAGAAAAGGAACGACGCATCGAAACCTACAAGTCCAAGGAGCGAACCAAACAAACCTAACCCAGGCTCTCTGAGTTTGTCCCGCCAGCATGCATGATCTCCACATGCCTTAAGTGCAATTTCAGGAGCGAACCTTGAAGAGGTTCAAGCTGTTGTTGGACAAGAAGCTTGGGGAGGTGGTTGAATCAGTGCAGCCCAAGGATTCACTGATTCAGAAGCTCAACCAGGACAGGCTTACAGATGCTGTCCCCAGGCTCCGTGCCCTATGAATTCTTTTTGACAGTGTTCTGGGACGAAGAGGCATTCTTCTGTAGAACTCGCTACAAGAACCCTCTATGGGGATTTCCTACTATGGTGCTTTCTTCCTTGTTCGCTACTAGTACTCTTCAAACGCAGGATCTCTCAGACTTGGAGGCTGAGTTTGAGCGACAGCTCACTGAGCAGCGTGCCCTAGAAGAGAAGATCGACCAACGGCGCCAGCATGCGGGCATCCTCACACAGGTCATGTGTCGCCGTGCCATCATGCGTGTGTTTTTCATTGCTTTTCCCCTACAAAACTGGTGCGGAAAGTGTTAGAGTCTGTTAGAGCATCTTTGGATCCTGGAGCTTGGGGAGTCTTCTCTTGATTCTGTGCGGATAACTTTTGACCAACGATGCAGGAATCAAAGAGTCTCAAAGATCAATTGGCCGAGCTTGACAGCCACATTTATCGCTTCAGGACCACTGGAATCCGTTTGACTAGAGGGCTAGCGGCTAGCGGCTATGCCTGTCATCCATGTTTGCCACCTGCCCGGGATCAAGACACACAATCCCTCTTGCCCCGGCTCTTTGTTCGGAACTGTGTGGTGAAAGGTCCTTTGCCACGTCGAGTCCAGCACCAGAAGTTCGGAAACCACCCGCCGTGCAGGAGTGATGTGCACACACTGGTCACTCAGAAGGATTTGAAGGAATGGCCGAAGGACGAAGGGGCTGTGACAACAACACTCCAACACTTGACTCAAGTGGTGCGGGCGCAAGTGCTGATTTTCAGATTTTGCATGATTTCGCACTGGTACCGTGAAGGGTTACCTCAACTGGACTCGACTGCTCCATCTAGGGCCCTAAGCCAACACAAAGCAAGAGAGAAAGAACGAAAGAAAGGGCTTCAGGTATTATTCCTGGGTTCTTGTGAACAAACACATCTCCCTTTGCCACAATCCATTTTCGTCATATCAGAGGCCAATGATACAAAGAGTTTTAGTGGGGCACGCACATAGTAGTAGTACAACATATAACAGTAGTAGTAGTAGTAGTAGTAGTAGTAGTAGTAGTAGTAGTAGTAGTAGTAGTAGTAGTAGTAGTAGTAGTAGTCTGGTAGTAGTAGTAGTAGTCTAGGTTTAGTAGTAGTAGTAGTAGTAGTAGTAGTAGTAATAGTAGTAGTAGTAGTAGTAGTCGTAGTAGTAGTAGTAGTAGTAGTAGTCTAGTAGTAGTAGTCGTAGTAGTAGTAGTCGTAGTAGTAGTCGTAGTCGTAGTCGTAGTCGTAGTAGTAGTAGTCGTAGTAGTCGTAGTAGTCGGTAGTCGTAGTAGTCGTAGTAGTCGTAGTAGTAGTCGTCGTCGTCGTCGTAGTAGTAGTAGTAGTAGGAGTAGGAGTAGGAGTAGGAGGAGTAGGAGTAGGAGTAGTAGGCGTAGTAATAATAGTAGTAATAATACGAAAAATTGACCTGGTTGTGGGCTCGGGTAAACCGGGGGGGAATTCTGGCGCCCAACTAGACCATTGGGGGGGAAATCAACCACCAATACTACTTCTAATTTGGGCAATTTTTGGGTGCTTTGTGGGCCCGGATTAACTGGAGGGGATTAATCCTGACTTGACATCATCTGTAGCAGTGAAGCAGGAGAAACATGCACCTTACCAACAAAGCGGGCCTCGGCTTCTTCAACAATGATAGCTACTATGCTTTTATAACTTTAATCCGTGGAAGAGAGACGGGTCGTCAGTTAGAGAGAGGTTCTTCAATCCCTAATGAGAGACTAGGAACTTTGCTGGATACCAAGATGTGGATCCCAGTAATACAGTAGTGTACATTAGCCGAGGAGCATAGTTAAAAATGTGGTGAAACACACGAGAGATCGCTGCCAGGAGATCCGGCGGCTCTACCACACTCATGTTGACGAAGAGGTCCGCGTTCACCAGCGACTGCCAATGGAGGACATGGCACGGCACTTTGTTCGGGAAGATGAAGTAGAGCAGATCAACTCTGAGGTAGGATTGTGAGCCTGAAGGCATCCAAAAGGCAATTGTTTATGAACTAAGTACGTACCACTCGACTTATATATATATATACAGATTATACAGTAACCGGCTGAAGCCCACAAGAGTCAAAAGCCTGTTGCATGAAAAGAAGGACAGCTTGGCAGGCCATTAAATTAGGTCTGTGAATCGCTCGCTGAGCGATGTGTTTCGTTCGATCGACAGACCCCGAACCGCTCTAGCTGGGCGGGCTCAAATTGAGTAAAACCGGCGCGGTGCGGCGTTTCGACGCCACCTTTGCTTTTTCGTGGTTCCGGACCTCGTTTGCTGGAACGCATTCGCTACATTGGTAGCGGAGCCCTGTGAAGGGGCTCCGCTGCGCACTTCGCGACGACGAGCCGACGGTTCGGGATAAGACCAGGGTCAAGAACGGTTCGAAGAGCTCTTTGTGTTTGCCTCCACCTTTGCTTGGTTTTGTGCACTGGTTACCTCAACACCCCAACCACCAAGCAGGTGATCGAAGAGCTCTATCCTACCATGCCACCTCCGAAGAAGACTCAAGGAGAGACCCAGGCACCTTCCGGCTCACGAGATGGTGGAGGAGGCTACACAGATTTGAGAGATAGCTATGTTCCCACCTTCTCAGGCCAACCGGCCGATTACAAAGAATGGCGTCAGCGAATCCATCTCTACCATCGCAAGATGATGCTCACCAAGAGAGGCAACGAGTCGGTCCTGAACATAGTTGGATCCTTCCAAGGAGTCACCTGGAGATTCTTCCAGGACTGGAGCCTCGAGGAGCTGGAGAAGGAATCCTCCTTCGACCGCATCATTGCTACGTTGGATGCAAACTTCCAATACGATGCCCGAGTGCAGTTGCCCAACGACTTTGAGGGCTACTTCAACCTGCTCCAACGTACAAGCGGCCAGACTCTGTTGATGTTCGTGGCCGACCACGAAGAGGCCTACAGGAAGCTCCAACAGCACAAGGTCGAACTTCCGGCCTCAGTTCAGGGCTGGCATTTGTTGAGGCGCGCTTCCATCTCTAAGGAACAGCGCCAGATGGTGACGCTGAAAGGCCCAAGCCTGGAAAAGAAGGACGTGATCGAGGCCCTCTACTTGCTGTTTGGTCAAGACTTCAAAGGAGGAACCTGGCCTATGGATCGCAAGCGATTTGGCTATGCTCCCTGGCGCAACAACAGAGCCTACGTGGCTGAAGACTATGATGATGAAGAGCTATGGGAGTCAGGTTACTATGAAGGTGATTGGACAGAGGAACCCACCTATGCCTCCTATGAGGACTATGACCGCGAACCTGAGGAGCCCGAAGAGTTTGACAATGAAGCTGGCTGCTACGGTGATGAACAATGGCTTGACCCCGACTCCGAGCCTGTCAGCCCTCAGCACATGGCTGAAGAGTACGACCACGCCTTCGCATCGTACACAGATGCTCGGAAGCGGTTCCAAGAGTTGAAGATGGCCAGAGGATATCTGCCGGCGGTAGCTTTGACTGAAGGCTCCCAAGTGCCAGTGTCTCCTGCATCCAATGCCGCATCATCACCTTCTTCCTGGCGCTGAAAGGGGAAGGGAAAAGGAGGCACCAAGTCTGGCAAATCTAAGGCCAAGACGACAATTCGCTACCCACCTCAAGGTGCTGGCAAAGCTGATCCCAAAGGAAGAGCTCGTGCAGCGCTCACCTGTTTGAGATGCGGCCAACCTGGCCATTGGGCAGCTAATTGCCCACAAGGTGCCAGCAGCTCAGCTTCCAAAGCTGGAACGAAGAGGCCCGCTCCAACTGAAGGCATGGCTTTTGCAGTTCAACCCGAAGAACTTGTGCTCCTCACCTTTCAGGACGCCTATGGCCTGGAGCGACCTGATTGCGCTATGTTGGATCCCGGTGCCAGCGCATTCCTGTCGGGTTATGGTCCCTTTCGCAAGCTGCTGGAGCACTGTGAAGAGCCTGGATATCCCACCGACCTCATCAAGATGACAAAAGGGCGAAGACGATTTCAGTTCGGTGGGGATGCATCTCAATGGTCCGACTGGAGCACCCATCTCCCGGTCTTTGTGGACGGCAAGTATGGGACAGTTGAAGTGTTCTTGTTGCCGGGCAACACGCCCTTGCTGTGCGGAAGGCCCATCATCGAAGCTTTGGGTATGACAATGGATTTCGCCAACAAGAGGCTCAAGATTGGCGGATCTCCGTGGCCACTTGGTCGACAATCTGTGGCCTCTCACCTTCGAGCACGACTTGATTGAGTATGACCCCAACAAGCCACAGTTTGAGCTGAAGACCAATGATCCTGAAGTCCACCAACAGGATGGCTACTTTCTCCCGGACTTCATCAAGGAAGAGCACAGTTTCCAGGTCCATGATGGACATGTGACAAAGGAGGGCCAGACAAATCGAATCAAGGGTCAACTGCTGAAGACCATGGACGTGCGCCTGACCACCCACATCAATGACATGTCTGCCTATCTCACCCAAGAACTACATCGACCACCAAGACCAAGAGTTTTATGGGAAGTGTACTGTGGAAAAGCCCGCACTTCTGAGATGGCAGCCGTCTTTGGCATGGAAGCCAGGCAGTTCTCATTGGACACTGGTTGGAACTTCGACTCCATCGACCACCAACAGCAGTTCCTGGACCTCCTCGATGATGAGATGCCCGAAGAGCTCCTGCTCACTCCGGTTTGCAAGCTCTGGTCTCGCATGCAGTCACTTGGCCGGAGGACACCCTATCAGCAGGAAGCCCTGGTTGCCGCTCGTCAATGGCATCATGATCGGCGCCTATGCTTTGTTCGTGAGGCCTACCTGCGACAGGTCAAAGGAGGACGACATGCTCACATCGAACAACCTCGTGAGGCAAAGTCATGGCAGACTCGAGCCCTCCGAGATCTACCAGGTCGCCTCACCGACTTCTCGCAATGCCGATAGGGAGCTCAATGCCTCGATGAAGACAATCAATGGCGACCAGTTCTCAAGAACACACGGCTCCTCACCACCAAGAAGGCGGTGCAGGAAACTATGTGTCTTCAATGCCTACATGATCACCAGCACTGTCGCCTTGAAGGTTCAGCGCATGGCTTTGGTTCTCGCGCCCGCTACATGGAAGATTTCCAGCCGTGACTCGCGACGAGTCTTGCTGGAACCTGCAACACTCTGGGAACATGCTCACTACACCATGGACTATGCCTTCAATGCTGAGGAGAAGGAGTTGACAGGTGCCCTGGTGAAACTGAGCGCTGAGACGAAGCAGGAAGCAATCCGAGTGGTCCAAAGACTTCATCGCAACTTGGGTCATCCATCCCCGACCACTCTGACAGAGCTGCTAGCCTCTCGTGGCGCTTCAGAAGCTGCTCAAAGCTACAAGTGTTTGGCATGTGCAAAGTACAAGAAACCCAATGATGCAGCGCCTGCCGCCACACAGAAGGCGCAGAATTTCAACGAGATTGTGCAGGCTGATGTGTTCTGGACCCGAAGGGGCTCCACCAAGTATGCCATCATGAGCATGGTTGACATGGCAACTCGATATACTGCTGCTTGCCTCCTTCGATCCGAACGTTCTGAAGAGTACATCAAGGCCCTCGAGCGCTTCTGGATTGCACATTTTGGTGTACCTGGACTACTCATGACAGACGAAGGCCGACCTTGGCTCAGCGGTATCATGGATGAATGGACCTCCGCTCACGGCATGCAGCACAAAGTGGCACCAGGCGAAGCTCACGAACGCCTTGCCATCGTGGAGCGACGCCACGCACTGATCCGCAAGGCTGTCGAGATCTACCTGGATGATGTGAAAGTTGATCACGTTGAAGGCATCAAAGAGGCCCTTACTTTCGTTGTACCACAGCTCAATGCCACGCCAATTGTCGCTGGATTTAGCCCGTCTCAATGGGTTCTTGGGTATCAACCCAGCCTTGCAGGCGATCTGTCCGATGCCGTGCAGCCCTCTCACTTTGGTGGCAACGCCTCTTTGGAGGACATTCAACAAGCGTCACGTTGCCAAGAAGGCCCTTCTGGACGCTGATGCTGGTCGTCGACTTGCCTCCTCACCGATGACGGCGCTGACACCTCAGCACCTGCAGACACAAAAGATGCTTGGACAGGCCTCACAGTCTTCCAAATCGATGGCAACACCCGCAAAGAGATGGCCACTTAAACAAGAAGCAAAGAGCCAGAAGCTGGCCCGAACAAAGAAGTTCAAGGAGGACAAGAACGGGGTGAACGAACGCCTCCTTGGACCCGATGATCGTGCTCTCTTCAAGGAAGCAAAAGTCAAGGAGCTGAAGTCCTTCTTCGATCATGGAGTATGGACATTTCAGCATAAGGATGAAGCCGATCCTGCGCGGACATTGACCTCCAGGATGATTCTGAAGTGGTCCAAGCACCCCGATGGCAGTCCTCGGGCCAAGGCCCGCTTGATTGTTCGAGGCTACAACGATCCCGACGCCCTCGAAGGAACTGTGGCCACATCAAGTCCAACTACTACACGTTTGAGCCGCAGCATGGTTTTGTCCCTCGCAGCCAACATGAAATGGAACACCTGGACCGCCGACGTGTCCACGGCCTTTCTTCAAGGAAGACAAACTCGCAAGTTGTGGGTCAAACTTCCAGCCGAGTGCACACAGCTTCTTGGCGCTGATGAAGATTCCAGGATGCTACTGCTCAAACCCTGTTATGGACAAATTGATGCCCCAAGAGGATGGTTTCTTGAAGCAGTGGACCGACTCCTTCGTGCAGGCCTACGTCAACATCTACTGGATCCCTGCTGCTTACCTCATCTACGAGACCGACAGCAAGACCTATGATGAGAAGGATGAGATCACCAACAGGTGAGCAGCCTTGGTCCTGAACGTCTGGTTGGCATGGTTATCATGCACGTTGATGATATGTTGGGCAGTGGCTGCACTCTGTCTCCTCGCTACCAGGAGGTCATCAACGACCTGAAGAACAACTTCTCCTTTCGAGAGTGGAAGGAGGACCTGGAGACTCTTGAGTACTGTGGTTGCGAGTTGCAGTCCACACCTGAAGGAGGGCGGAAGCTGCACCAGGGCAACTACCTGACCAAGGTCTCCCCCATCACCTATGACAAGAAGAGAGCAATGTCAGAGACACTGCAAGAGAGAGAGAGAGAGAGATCACTCAAGTACGTGGCCTACGTGGCCGTTGCAATGGCCAGCGGTTCAAAGCTCACCGCATTTGCAGTGCTCCACATCCATGCTCTCCGGCCAGATCACCAGAGCGACGGTACAAACCTTGCAGGAATGCCACCAGCTCCTTCGCTTCAGCAAGGACAACAAGGACGTTGGACTCCTGTACAACTACATTGGTCCCCCGTCAGAGCTGCAGCTGGTAACCTTTTTCGACGCAGGTTTTGCAAGTCGCTCGGATGGCAATTCACAGGGCGGCTACATCTCCATGCTCCTGAACCGGAAGCTGGTCAACTCGCCGGAGGAGGGCGAGTATCATGTTGTTGATTGGCGTAGCTTTCGAACGCCAAGGGTGGCACGCAGCTCATTGGCTGCAGAGGCTCAGGCCGGTGGTCAGGCTGCTGACGCAGTCGATTTCACCTGTCGCTACTGGGAGCATCTGATGAACCCCAAGATCACCTTGAAGGATCAGATGCCCTCGAGCCTCAAGCCCATCCTGGTCACGGACGCAAAAGCTCTGTACGACTCCTACCACAGGGAGGGCATCAATTCCTCTGTGATAGACAAACGGGTCAGTCTGGAAATTCGTGTCATGAAGGAGCGCGTCACCGAGCTCAACGGCACCCTCCGTTGGATGTCTTCAGAACGGCAAGTTGCGGATGGTCTGACAAAGACCAGTGCTCGCATCCTCCTCTCAGCTCGACTACGTCATGGACGCTTGAAGATGACCTGGGATCCAATGTACCAGGCAGCAAAGCGGAAGACGAAAGGTCAACGAGCCGCTGCAATAGCAGAAAGTACATCTGAGGTCCACATGCCACAGAATGTGAACACCTATGAGGATGAGCACCTCCAGGCGACCGAAGACATGCCTGACCCCTTTGAAGTGCATGAAAACATGGACATGTCACCGAATGTGCAGCTCCCATCGAATATGCAGTCTGCACAGAATGAGCACCACACTCAGTATGCGTTTGTTGCACAGTATGCCAAGCCCCTTGAGTATGTGCTTCTCATGCGCCATGTCGGCCGCCGCAAGAAATTTGACTTCAACAGTCGCATCAAGTATGTCTTGCTGCTGCTTGCGCTGCTGGCACCGACCTTAGCTGGTGCTCAGGACACATGCGTTCAACAACCGGCCCGTGAAGAAGAAGACCAGGTCCTGTGGTTCTGGATCATCAGCTGCTTGGCACTGCAGCTGTTTGCTATGTTTGGAGTTTTTCTCCTTGGCCGCTATTTTGGCGGCAAAAGCACTGAGCCTGTGATCAAGTATGACATCGGCATCCAAAAGAATGAGCCCATAGTGGGTCAGAGGCTTCGAGAACAAGTTCGTGAGCTGAGAGATGAGCTACGCATCTCCAAGTTCGAGGCCAACAACAGCTTGGAAGCAGCTCGAGAGGCAAGAGCTGCGCAAGCGCTTTCTCAAGAAGAGGTCTTTGCGCTGAGCGACCTCGTCCTCAATGCCCAGTCTCTCGTTCGTGCCTTGGAGCGCGAGATGGATGAACGTGCTGAAAAGTGCTCCTTCAACCATGAGATCTACATGTCCAAGAAGGGCATTTGCTGGCACCACCGCGATTGTCACATCGTGGAGCAGCTGTGTGAGGCCAACAAGATGGTGATGAAAGGCTGCTGCTACTGTGTTGCCGGCGGGACACCGCCCGACCGAATGGTGTACCCGAGAGGCTGGTGTCTGCGACAGGACATCCAAGCATGGCTCCAAAGCTATGCAGCTTTTTCCCATGGGTCGAGATGAAGAATTCCTCCCCATGTGAATCGCTCGCTGAGCGATGTGTTTCGTTCGATCGACAGACCCCGAACCGCTCTAGCTGGGCGGGCTCAAATTGAGTAAAGCCGGCGCGGTGCGGCGTTTCGACGCCACCTTTGCTTTTTCGTGGTTCCGGACCTCGTTTGCTGGAACGCATTCGCTACAAGGTCGTTTATCGTCATTGAAAGACACAACGCAACGCCAGCAGGGTACCAATTGCCCAGCATGAGTCCTTGGGACGAATCAGACCATATATACGGGCTGCACATCCTTGCGCCCCTTGTAGCGCATCTCCTGTTCTGTTTCGCGTGCGCTTTCTGAAGGAGATGATGCGGCAGATGAGAGTGGTGGAGAGGCGAGTGGCAGGTTTGGCGGCGAAAAGTGATCAGATCAAGGCTATGGGAAAGATGGACGTGCAGAGGAAAGCCCATGAAGCTTGATTTGTTCCTGAGTCTTTTTGCTCCTGGTTAGGCCCGTGTGCAGTGTCACACCAAGTCAATGAAACACCGGGAATGTTACCTGTGGGCTTAGGCATTTGAGAACTACTTGGTATGTCATCCCAGCAGATTGAACATCCCAGCTTTCAACGCTCAGGAAAATGCCACTTTGGTGCATGAGCTCAACGAGTTGAGGGTTCTCAAGTGTTCGCTGGTGAGGGAAGTGAAGGCGCTCACTACGAAGCTCAAAGAAATTGAAGGCAAGAAAGAGGCCGATGGGAAGGGCACTTCCGAAAGGTCAGACAAAATACTATAAAATATTGACCAACCTGCTGCCTGATGTGTGGGCATTCGGTATTCCAATGCATTTATGGATCTATCTACCTTTCAAACTCAAGTGCAGCCATATATATATATATATATATGTACCTACATGTGCAACTGTATGACTGCAGATCCCTAGAAACACACCGTTTTGCAGTAGCAAATCGGCTTCAGCACATCAAAACGAGCAGTTGAGTCCCACGGCTTGATGCGTAGAGTTCCCAGGAGCCGAACCGAAGCCTTTTTGACAAAGGAGAAATCGAGGAGGCTCTCAGTTTCTGAGTTTCTGGAGGTTTCTGAGCCTTTTGCCTCCTTTTGCTATGTCCTGATGGGCACAGTTGGACTCACGGGTACGAACGTGCCGCACGGGCGCTTCGGTGAACTTTCGGCTCTCGCTCCTTCTCTAGGAGCCAAAAGTGTCAAGCCCTCCTCCGCCAGACAAGCCATCAAAGGTAAAGGAGATTGGACCGATCGGAGCTGGTTTCCGCAGGGCTTCCTTGCAAGCTAAGTTCTCCAAAACCTACGTAGCTGGTGCAAGTGCGCAAGTGGCCACCTCAAACGACACCAACCCTGTAAGTAGAGGGGACATGACACACACACACACACACACACACATGAGAGCCAATCAAAACCTGCAGATGTTGATTTTAGTCAGCGATGGTCATGGCCCATGGCTTTTAACTACTCGATGCTTAATGGTTGCAAAAGCTTGCAACATGATAGGGTCTCTAAGAAAATCGGTATGTCATTGCCTTGCGCTATAACTCGGCAAACTCTGCCAGCATGCCTGGCAACCGGTCATTCAGTGGTTTGACCATCGCCGATCCCTATACCGCATTGAGGTACTTCCGTTGAACTATCAAAAATGTTGGCAAACGCCTGCTGCTGAAAGCGATGCCCAAAACGATGCCTAAACAATTTGGCCCCGGAAGGCAGTTGACGTTGACCACGTAGGGTCGCAGACACAACATTATCTACTACTGGGATGGAGTCATGAGGTATGCTTGACAACAGGTCAGGCAACGCGTTTTGACAAGGCCAATTAACAAATGCTCTCCACTAACTAAGTGATATTCCTCCAGCTCTGATGAGCTCAACTATCTGGGTGAGGTGTTCATTCAAAAATTCTGAATGTTAGCTCAACGCAAGTCAGCATTGGCAGCCTTTTTGGGAAACTCAGAACGGAGCTTGGCAGGCAGTGCACAGTGCAAGGTGGCTTTAAGAGGTAGAAAGGCACCAAAGCCGTGGACAGCGATAGGGTATCCAAGAAAAATGATACCCCCTCTCAATGACCTCGGCGGTAGGTAAGAAATTTTTACTGTTGCTCACACTTTGAGAAGATGGACAAATGATGAACCAGTATATATATATATACATATACATACACATACTGTAGGCATACTGTAGTACAAAGGCATACTGTAGTCGTTTCGTTTGCCTCCTCGTTTCAGGAGCCGACCGGTCTGCCAGGGCCACGACAATCCTCATCACGTGAGTTATTGCCAGACGTGCCGTCGGCTTCGCGGCCTCAGTTGGCCCCATTGGATGGCTGAAGCTAGGGCCAAAATCTGTTGGAGTTGAGATCAGCTACTTGCAGCTATCCTGCATTTGATTCAACCATGAATGTGCCATTCAACGGTAGCTGTGCATGGCATGCCGTTTCACCCTGACATCGACGGAAGATCCGTCGATCATTGTCAGCTGGCGTTTAGTCCGCCAAGGCATTGATCGCCAAAAAAAGGTTAAACTTTAGCATCGCTGGACACCTATGCTTATTTTCACGATGTTGCATGCATGTGGGTGGTTGCTGACGGCATCTATATAGAGCAGAAGAGCTGAGTGATGAGTGTGAAGCTCCGTGATATTCTGCATTGGGCATTGTTTACAGGCTTCAAGCAACCATGTGGCCAACACGTTTTCAGGAAAATCCCATGACCAGGTCTCAACAGGTAGGCAAGTGGCAGGCGGATTCGGATAGTTAGGATTGTTGGGAAGTTTGTCAATTTTGCTTTGAACCGTTATAGCATTCTGCATGCTTGGTGGCAGCAGACGACGAACCAGAGCAGCTAGGAATCAGAAGCCCTTAATGAAGGCAACTAGCAACTTTCCAACACTCTCCCCATGGAAGAGGAGTGTTCAAAGGCCATTGGGCTATGAGGTGTACGGGCGAACCTGTGTGGACCTTGGCTCGTGAGAGATCCGTCCTTCATTGTGCGCAGTGGGACCTTGTTGAACACGGACCCAGCGCTGTGAGGAAGCTGTAGGATGACCTCAGGCGCTACTGGTTGGGCGAGGGAGCGATACTGGTTGGTGCACTTTGTAGATAGAGAAGTGACACCTGGGTGTTTGCAATCTGGGATTCACACTGACCGTATTTGCTTGCCAGCAGATTTGCAGGCCAAGAGATTTCTCCAAACTTGTTTGCCGCGAAGCTGAATGCTCTTTTGCTGCTAGTTCTGCTAGCCGTTTGGCCAAAAATTCTGATGCATGGGGCAAACAAGTGCATAAGTCCACTTTGGGGTGGCATTGGGGCATCGGGTGTGGGGCTTTGGAGCGTATCCCATCCAGGGCCGATTCCCAGATTTCTAGCAACTGATGCTCACAGTTTGCAGCTCAGGACTGCTGTTGCAATGGCTTTGCGGACATGCTGTGGGATCCATCTCATTATGTGACTGCCTAAGTGGCTGATGCAATCCGTCTTCTTGCGGGGTGGTGATGCCAAACGTCTCTATGAAACAAAGGAAGGACGAACACTACAAACAGAAAAGGGCAGCCTGTTGGCCTTTCTCAGCTTCCAATCAGTTCTTTCTTCTGACCAGCGCGAACCGATTGATGAAGAGCTGTGTATATCGTGGCGGTGTTGCTGATCTCGTCAAGTGTACAGAAGCCATCAGATGTTCTCCCGAGGTGATGACCATCATTTTTTGTGCGTTGCCGCTGCTTGGCATAATGTTGCTGCACCATGAGACCCATCAAAACGTCGGAAGCCTTTTGTATAGCAGCCTTGCAGTGTCATGCGAAGATTGTCGGTGGGCCCGTGAGGGGTGAGACTTTTGTGCTTTGGGTTGTTAAGAAGACGCCTTGCATAAGATTGAAAGATGCTCGCAATAAGCCTTCCACTTTTGGAGTGCTTCTCCCGTTCATGGGGTCAGATTCCGTAGGCGAAGGTCCACCTTTTGAGGAGTGGCCGAAGAATCTTGAAGACCACTCTATAAATACAGCATACAGCATATCCTGAACCGTGTGTGACCACCTTCATTTACACTATATATTGAGTAGAATCTTTCATTGGAGAGAGCCTGTTTTCAAAATCTTAAAAACGGTCAATCCAAAAAGTCAAAGTCAACAAAAAGTCAAATCAGAAAGTTTCAGAAAGTCAAAAAAGGTCAATTGGCCCAGATCCGTTTTTTTACTTTTTTGACATCTTTTTCAAACTTTTGTTTGACTTTATTTTTGACTTTCGTCTTTTTTGGCTTTTTCTAGTTGTTTTCTAATGTTGACTTTTTAAAACTTTTTCTTTTTTATATAAAAGTTGTTTTTCCGAGTTGTGATCCATTTTGACTTGTTTATTTGTTCCGACTTTTTTTCGACCTTTTTTTTGTGACTTTTTCGAGTTGTGATCTAATTTTTTTTGTTTTATTGTTTTTTTTTTTGGTGTTTTATGTGTGTTTCTTTTTCAAAGTTTTTTTTTGCCTTTCATTTTCCATTTGACTTTTTTGTTAGACATTTTTTCGACTTTCTTTAATTAAGGATTCTGGGCTTACCATATGATTTATCAAAGAATCTTTTAACACTATATGATATATGTACTTTCTGACATGAGGATAGCACTGCAGCTTTTGATGCTGATCCTCTTCTTCATGTTGCTGTGGCACACCTTCCTCCTGCGTGCTTTGGCAGTTTGGCGGGGATGGCTGGCGGCCTGTCGGCCTGGACCTGTGCTCACCGACTCCACAAAACAGTCACGCATTATCACAAGATTTTTTGATGAATCACATGTTTGATGTTACGATCGTATTCAAAGAGCTATGGGTGTTGTGGATCCGGAGTCACACATTTGGACATCGACGGATCTGTGCACGTGGCGTGCCGCATCTCAGGCTATGGTCTGCTTCTGGAGCTGTGGGGTGAATTGCGGGGAGTCGTGCTTTTCTCTTTCCTGCAACTTGGGCCAAAGAAAGGTCTGAATCTAAAGGTTAAGCGGATAAGCTTCCTGAACATTTGGAAACCAAGTCGATCGTCAATCATGTGAGCTTGAGCCCAGTCCGAAGTTCACTCTGCAACCTGTTTGTGGATCATTTGGAGCTAGAAAGGAGCCTATCCAAGGCGATTGGGAGTGATGCTGGCAGCGCGTGTGCCGAGATTGCTTGCAGCCCTGCATAGTGTGACGCGTGAGGAGTACTGGGCAACTCGGATGCGAGAAACTCGCCTTAGCAAACGCTATGGAGAGAAGTTTCACAGCCAAAAAGCATCGAAACGCAGATCTCGTGGATGTCATAGCACCTTCGTGCTAGTACCTGTGGGTCGCATGCCAGGCAGATCCTCTCAATCAGGTGGCCGCATGGTCGCAACGTCAGAGAGCATGAGTTCTTTCGGACGGGAATATCTGAGGTTCGAGCCGGAATAAGACCCGTTAAAGGAAGCTGTATATATATATATATATGCATATACGCTTTGTCAAAAGGGTTTTGGGAGCTTGTTTGTCTTGGAATTTGATTCACTGTAGCAGTGCAACAATCATCAGAAAATTGTACGGTCTGAAGCATGAGCTTGAGACCCACACCAGGCCTTTTGCAGCCACCATTTGGTGAGTGTGTTCTACTGTGCTTGGTTGCTGCGTCGGGGATACAGCTTGGCCCAAGTGCGCTTCTACAAGCCCCAGCCACAAGGCCGCGTTGGCACCAACAGGCACTGGAAAACGAATTTGGCCAGAAAGTCTCCGGGAAGTCGACCTCCAAGAACTTGCACAAAGTGAGTTGCTGATTGCAGAAG